TGTAGATCAGCAGTGGCGCTGTTCATCTGGGCAGCCACATGTGGTCACCTGACCCTGCTGGATTGTATCTTAGAGAAAAACTGATATTGGAACAAATTTCTAAACTTAAATCTTTTAAACGTAGATTTTTAAAGTCTATGAGTATAATTTTCAGCCACAGAGAAAATCGCTAAATATGTAGTTAAGTGTTCAAGGTTTCCAGACTTAAAAACTTGACATTCTGGACTTCCTCAAACTCCTGACCAATCAGCCTCATTAATATTTCAATAACATTATATAAAAGGTTATTAACATCTTTGCTTATGCCATTTCTCTTAAACGGGACTGACATGGTTCAATGGTCTTGTTTCAAATTCACAATTTGTGGTCGTTTTTCTGCCACCATTAAGAGTCTTTAAAATCTCACATGTGGGTATCACGATTCATACAGAAGCATTTTATTGTCTCTAATACCTAACTAATCCTAGACAAATAGCAAAAATCTGCTATAGTCAGTTTAACAGTTGTTTTCAAATATACGTTTTTGGATTATACAAAATATCACTATTTGGCAAGTCTTTAAACATCACAGTTAAACTAGAAATTACCCATATTGGGAAACAAATTGTTAGTTCAAGAAAATAAATTAATGGACAAACTGTTCTTGTGAAGACAGTATGTTAATAATTTTGAAAATCCATTTACTCGCCTTCTTCAGTAGAACTCAAGTACAATACACTAGTTGCTCATGGCTAGTGTTCCCAAACTTGTATGTAGTGCATCAATTTTAAATCAAAGTGCCTCATACTCCAGTGGCCCTTTGTAAGTATGCAGAAAGCATTTTACAATCAGAGAAAAACACGTTAGGGGATTTACTAAAGACCATCCATTTAAATCAGCGGAGGTAATATAGAGAGCAGAAACCTACTTTTACTAAATTGTGATTGTTCTAATAGGAAGATGAAAAACTGACACTTAATGTCTGAAAACTTGTGTATGTGAAGTTCCTGGGGGTATAGGGAGGAATTTGGTAATGTCTGGAGACAATGTTGGTTGTCACAACCAGGAAGGGGTGGTGACACTACTAGCATCTAGTAGGTAGAAACCAGATGTTGCCGGTATCTTACAATGCATATGATAGCCCCCACGACAAAAAATTATCCAGTTCAAAATGTCAATAGTGCCAAGGTCTATCTAAGATCTCAATCTAAAGTAATGAGCATGAATTTTTCTACTAAAGTATAAACTCTGGAGGAAAACATGGATTTTATTTCTGGAATAAGGAATCAGGAGTTTATTTCCAGACCTCTTAGGAAAGCCTAATTTAGTTCATGTATGGTAATGATTGCAAGCAAATACACATTTGTGTGTCTTTGGAAAACCGCTACACTAGGATTACAGTAAGCTAGCATCATACATATTTAGCTGCCTTTACCTAAGTAAGCAGTTGGTTTTTTATCTAGTTTAAAAACGGAAATATCCGTCAAACAAGTAAGACAGCTTTTCAGAGTATGAGGCTTATTACAGACTATTAAAATATGGGGCTATTATGGTATCGTACAAGTAACCAGTTTTGAAGTATAACTGTTTAATAGGTTTTTTTTTTAGAACATTCTAGAGTAAAATCACTCGATACGCATTAACCATTAGTTACTGACAATTGCTAAATACACTAATTCTAATACTCCCTAATCTGGAAACACTTTTGTTTCAAATAAGCTCTCTCTCTTCTAAGATCTCAGCAAAACAAACCTGCCAAAATCATCACCAATATTGATTTGAGATCAAAATTAAAAGGTATGAAGAGGCCACGGAATTAAGACTCCACAAACAGAAATAGTTATTTCTGTCTACTGAAAATTATTCTGAAGTCTAACACACTGGCAATACAGGATCCAAGAAAGTAAAACTATGCATTACCGCCATTGGTAGTTTTAATTAAAGTTGGCTTTTTTAACATTCAATGAAAAACAAACCCCATTTTAGATTCTGAACTAACTTTCTAAAAAGTTACCAAGAACAAAAACATATTGCTGGAGGATCGTACCCTAAACAACACAAGTGTTTACAAAATCTTTTCTCGTATTACTAGGAAAACAAGCAACTTATTATATTGGAAAAGGAAAATATACAATTTCATTTTGCATTTCCGTAAGACTAATCTGGTGAGCTTTCGGTAGCTTGTGGCCAAATACTATGTTCCATTTTTGCAACCAAAAGTATCAAAGGAATTTTATTAACTGGAAAAATCAGTTAGAACCAGAATATCTTTTCCTAAACACTGAATGAACTGTTACTATATTGCCCATTTTCTATTCCATAGAGGATTAAATAAGATTTCAAAAACAGACATGAATCTGGGTGGCAGTGGTTTGAAAATTAGGATTCAATCTAAAATAGAACTAGAATCTAAAACTGACTTGTTGAAATTTTTAAGCTGTTTAATTTCAAAACACTTACTAAGCATAATATATCTAGAGATTGGCAATTAATTTTAACAATTTAGATTTTTGGCAAAATTTAATGTGGGCAGAAAATGTTCCTTTAATTACAAAGTATTACCACATACTTTGTCATGTGACTAAATACAGCTTACAAAGCTTATGACAACTGAATTTTTTAATGGCTGAGAATTTTGTACACATCCTCATTTTGAACTTCAATCATGAATATATAATCATATTCATGTGTCTGAGACTGAGCTATATATAAAGACACCAGAACATCCCCTAGAACTGGTTAATTAGATATGCCCCTGTTATTTCTTCACTATTTACCCAAGAAAAGTATAAAGAAAAAAGACTATTTACTTGACTATGGTCACATTAAAAATCATGTAAATACTCATTTGATGAAATCATCATACTCCAATCTTTTAAAAATACTAATTCCTAATGGTTAAGCAGCTTTCAGATATCATTAACAAAATACATGACCACCATTTTTTAAAAAATCATCATTCAGTGCTGATTTTATAAACAACCTTTTAGGTAGGCCCTGCCATACCAAATTTCCTTTCTGCCTTAGTTTTTCATAAAATAACCTAATCTAAAAACTCAATCCATATTGAGCTTTCCTTTAAAAGAGATCGGGTAGATCTAAACTGACTTAAATGTCCTCATGAAAATCAATAAACGGCTTGTTTTTGTATTATTAACTTTTAGATCTCCTGAGGAACCTACCTGTGGAGAATTGCTCAACAGAACTTCCTAATACTACTAGTAAGCAGCATGAGTGGTAGGTGTGTCTGAACTCCACACCTTGCCACTTTCATTCCAGGATCTGGAATATCCAGTATCTGGACATCACCTCTAGAAGTATGGAGTTAATCAGTATGACTCAGCATTTAAATTCCAAGCATTCCTCTTTGTTACTAATTTTGTTATGCATGTGTATACATAGGTATATAAACACTAAAACTATAAAAGAGCAGTATCTATTTCTTTAGTACTAAAAGAATTTCAACAACGTTCGAAAAATGAGCTGGCTTGCAAGACTCAACAAAACAAAACATGCATCTTGGAAGTTAAAAACAAACTAAAGAAAAATCCAACACAAGTATTTGGATTTAACTTTAGGCAATTAACTAAGAAGACATTCACACAACATATGCATGTCAGTCTCCTATTCAGTCCTAGAGCCTGCAGTATTGTAATTTATTGTGAAACCATGTAACCAAATACTTAAATATATCCACAACATCTATACCACGGTAATGCATAGTACATAATATACTGACATCTCAAAATAAATTTCTATTACAGTTTTATGCAAATTATGGTATAAGATTATCATCTGCCACATTTTGAAATGGCACCAACTTTCATGTAAAGTTCCACATCAATGTACTAGTCAATATCCTTATTATTAGCAATGTCTTCTGCATTATTATCTGAACATTTGAAATCAAGCTGCTAATCTAATAACCACAGTACGTTATCAATTAAAATCACTGCATATTTGGATGTTAAAGCAGTTAAGTAATACAGCAGAAGTATTTCTAATTCACAGTTTCAAAAATAAAGGGTGCAGTTTTCAAATATCTGATTGCTTAAAATTGGTCACTCAATTTAACAACTGCCTCCTTCAATACATGTAAACTATGTTTGCACAGCATTAGGAGATGTCTTTTATTTCAGAAGTTAGTTCTTACTGTTACAGGAGCACCACAAATTTGAAGGAAGAGGCTACAGTGTGAAATGAGCTCACTGAAGGATATGTTAAATAAAATTTTAAGATACTGCAAAAGCTTTGTTCCCCAAGCACAGATCCTTAATCAGGAAAAGTAGTTAACACTTACCAAATACAGTGTGTAAATTAGGTCTACAAGAGATGGGGAAAAAAATCTAACTCAACTAAAAGAAAATACTATTATTAGCTAACAAATCTGCGATAGCCCGCTTCAGAATTTCCCTAAAGTAAAATTCAAAAGCATTACACAGTATTTGTATTCTTTGATAAGGAATGCAAACATCCAAAGGGAATGAAAAGAAAAATCTGTCTTTAAGAATTTCTAAGTGGAACACACGCACACAAAGGGGTAACTGAGAAAAACCAAGTACTTAAATATCCAAATTTTAAACGTGTAAGAAAATTTGTAATAGAAAAAGGTGACAAATGTTCTTGTGACTTGATTTGCTGAAAACATCTGCAAATTCACACTGGCATTAAGAAAACCAAAGTTTCAAAAATTTACTCCTCTCTCTCTCCAGATGTGTTTTCTGTGCAAAAATAAATATCTGAAAATTGCACTAATAATACCTATTTTAACTTTTGTATTATGAATAATCTGCACATGCTGCTTTACAGACAGTACATATTTGTAAACTTGCTCATGCAAAATTAGTGTGTGAAACAGGGATATTGTTAATCCCACACTTAAAAAATGATACCTTATTATCTTTTTATAAACTGCCAAACCCTCTGAAATGTAACAAATCTTATATGGATATTCTTGTCTGCCAGCTAAAAATCAATTTATGTTGCTGAAACAAAAAGTTTTACAAGAAAAAAAAACATGGTTTTTGTCTTGCAGAATTTTTGATGTTTAAATGAGAAAATTTATAAAAGAAAGAAATTCATGGTCACAAAATTTTAACATTTTAATCCTAAACATTACAGGGTAAATAGATACTGGACCCTATCTCCATACTCCATAAATCTTAACTTTTAGTTTACATTTTAATTGTTGCCCTAACCACTAAAACATTAGTGGTTTTACAACCTCTGGATTATGGAAATACATATTCTGAAATAAACACTACAAAAACAATGGAAGAAAGCCAAACAAATTGTCTCCATGAAGGGAAAAAAAAGTGGAACATTTTGAAGCTTTAGACACTTCTCTTTCCATGTCTTATGATTAACCTGTCAATTCAGTGCATTGTATGGTCATATGTTGAACGGTCCCCATGTTGAATAAACATCTAACTAGTGTCCATGGATTCCAAGTTAGTGGATGATGAATCTTTCTGGATACTTTCAAAGATGGCCGCCAGCTCAGGGTTAGAACTGATTTGTGATTGGAATTCACTCATCAGTGGACTCTTCTCTGCTTCTGGAATGGTTAGCAGTGCTGCTACTGCCCTCATAGCAGATCGCTTTAATTCATCTTGCTTTTCAAATTCTTGCTTTACTGAGTTTGCCTTAACCTGTAACATGAAGTAAATTTAGATTACATGCTATAAAGATAGCTCTTACATGAACAAAATTCAAGCACATAGCAATTCCAGGTAAATAAAGAGCAAAGTTTCTCTTGTAGGTCCATAAGGCATATTATATTCTAAGCAAAGCTGTTTTTAAATTTCCTTTTTAAGCAGTAGCTGTCTCCCTTTCTTTTCAGGGAATATTTTACACTAAGCCCTATTGTAGAAACAGAAAATCCAGACCCACGTAGTTGAAACCACCAAGAAACTACTCCTCTAGCTATCCTATTCACTGTTCTTCAAACATACCACATAATGACATCTCCATGCCTTTATTCATGTGAAAAGCCTTACTTTACCGTCTTGGTCATTTCAAATGTCATCACCTTTATATGACTCCCTTTCCAAACAGAATTAAACACTTCTTTTGTGGCTTTGATCATATTTTATCCCATATCAGTATTTCAAAATATGCAACATATTATAGCAATAAACAAAAGTTTCTAAGACTAGAAACTTAGTATGTAACAGTGCTAAGTTTTATAAAACACCCATATTCAATAGGTTCCCTTTTTAAACCAACTGCTACATATGGTGCTAACAAAAGTAAATTTGGAAAACTAGAGAAAAGAATCGACTAGGAATCCTGAAGACATCAAGTCTGACCTAAGTCGATGCCTACCAATTCTTACCTTAGTCGTACATGTGGCACGTAATGGCTCAACAAGTCGGTCCAACCTCTGCAGTACTGCACTTGGACAAAGGGTAGAGAGTCTCACTAACATTAAAAATGTTAGCATCTATTAGGAATAAAAAAGAAAATTTATACGTTATTTTCCAAAAATAAAATTCTACATGCTGACACATTTTTTAAAAAGGAAGATGACTAACTAGCATGCAAAATAAAGCTTCTTTTTAACGTAATCTGCCACTCAGAATCACACAGATTTGTCTCAAACCTTATCTAAGGTAAGTGCTAGAGAGACCTCATCTATAATGTGGTCCTAGAATGCATAGCTAGAAAAGTGGCTTGCAATCTTGGCTACACATTAGAATCACCTGGGGAGCTTTAAAAACACCCATTCCTCAGCCCCATCCTCAGAGTTTTATTGAACCTATAAAGACAGGGCTATAGATTTATTATTTTTTAAAAACTTTATGTGCATCAGAATTGAAAATCCCTAAATTCAAAAATTATTGAAATAGAAGATAAGCATTGTAATATTTTAACATATTTTACTTAAAAAAAAAATTTGACCACTAATTCTGATTAATCTATATAAAACCAGATAAACATTATGTCTTGGATTATAAACTCATAGAATTAAGCAAGCACATCTGTTACTTTTGGGGGGACTCTCTTCACTGAACTCTGAGAGGATCAGGTCACTACCACACATGGAAGCATGAGTAGGAGAGTTCTGATACTATGGCTGCTTGGCCCAAAGGCTCTAAATGGAAGAGTAGATGAAAAAGACACAATGCATTTATTTTTTATTTTTCAAAATCGCCCTTTTGCTATTCACATTTAATATGGATATGTGCAAACAGGAAAACAAAGAATAGTTATAAGCAAAATTCATGCTCCAGACCTAAGAAGCAGTATAATTTCTCTCTGGTTGCTTCCACATAGATTGCTTTGTGTAAATGAAAGCAGTTCTTCCATGTTGTCCTCTAACACAATTGTTGGTATTAAACACAATATATTATATTGAAAAACAAAAATCCCTCATTTAGGTAAATCATACTGTTGTCATTCAGAGTAGCCCCAAAGATAGCCCAAGGGAATTAATCCAAACAATGCCGAGAAACTGAGAAGACTCTCCATGGGTAGTAAGTACCTAAAGTTCAATGTTGAGACAGGCCAAAAAGGTCACAGATTTATACTTTAAGCAACAAATCTGTAGGGATTCTTCTTTTTTTCTTTTTGAGACAGGGTCTGGCTTTCTTGCCCAGGCTAAAACATGATCATAGCTAACTGTATCCTTGAACTCCTGAGATGAAGCAATCCTCCCTTAGCCTCCTGAGTACCTGGGACTACAAGCCCATACCACCATGCCCAGCCAATTTTTAAAATTTTTTTTGTAGAGACGAGATCTTGCTATTGCCCAGACTGGTCTCGAACTCCTGGCCTCAAGCAATCCTCCTACTTTGGGCTCCCAAAATGCTATGATTACAGGCATGAGCCATCATGCCCGGCCTGGGATTCTTCTTCTGAGGCAAAAGATCTAGGGATTACTAAACTAAGCAACTTGGCACAGAGTATTTCTTACAAATTTTGCATCTAATTCTACTTCCTCCTCCAATAAAAAGAATTCTAGCTCTTTCCTTTATGTCAAATGTTATACTGCCTCACCATTACTTTTGCATATTATAGTTTATAACATATCTATTAAAACCCTGACAGACAACCCGATTTTTTCTCACACATACATGCGAGTAAATTACAAGGGTGAAAATCACTGTAGCAAAGTCGTCTTCTAAAATGTTGTTTAAATAGGCACAAACATCTTACCTTAATATCATAATGGTCCTTCAAACCATCTTCAACATGATTTAGAAATTCAAAGATATCTAGTCTATCAAGACAACTATCTAGAAGTGTGTACATACACTCAAAAGCTGCCTTTCTAATATCCAGACCATCATCAACTGTATGTTTAAATGGACCCATTTCTACCTGTTAAAACAAAAAAGAGTGTGTGGATATATTATACTTAAAAGGCAAAGACAAGCTTAGATAAAGTGTAC